TACGTCAGACGCGCGTTTCGTCTAAGACTCATCAGTGGCGCTCAAATCAAAACATCAGGAAGATCAAATCAAATACGAATTGTTCAGTAGGAAGATATTTTTATCCTCCGTCTGATTTTTTCGTATTTTTCGTTACATTTAGGAATTACTGACAGTTGTTTAACTCTTTATTGGAAACAGAAAATTTTCGAATAGAATATCAATCGCCCCTTTTGATATTTTTATGGTAGGATAGATATAATAAATGCATTTTATAATTTAAATTTTCTATTTTGATAATGTTTTTCTGTTTTCAATTTTGTATTGATGTCATAAATGTTTGAATTATTTTATTGGTATTTTATGCCCACATTTTAATCAATATCTTTTGAATGTGCCCTTTGGTTGTTTAAAAAAAAAACTAGCACTATCAAGTTGTTCGTAAGAATCGTTCAAAAATGGGATATTATACTTTCAAAGCCAGATAGATATAACATCAGACAATCCTTGAGGTTTCAGACTTTGGACAGGAAAAATAACATGCGGTGATGCCAGATCATGTTTTTCGCCTTTTTTTAATTTAAATATCTCAAGTTAAAAAAACGTTATGCTCGTGCATGTCCACACTATACAGGTGTCATTAACAAAGTAGTGATTCTAACACGAAGTTGTTCCAACATAATTATGAGGAAGAACGACTGTGATCGACTTAACTTATGTTTTGCGGATACCATCATGCATTGGTTGACCGAAACGAAGAGTTTGAGTTTCAAATCACATGCGGTCGTGGTCTTAGATATCTATATTTCAGAATAGTCGTCTGATCTGTAAATTTACCGATTTGGTCCTTTTTCTGATTGTAACATTTTGACTGAGTGTGGATTTGCATGGAGAGTTGTGCAAACATATCAGAATATGCTTACCCTGTAGACGCGCATAGTCTAGCTTCTTTGAATTCATGCTTTTCCCTCAGTTTCTATTTTTATCATGATATGTATCTTCTTATTTCAATCTCCATATCTAGATTTGTCAATCATGTTAATACAATTATATATTTGTATCCATCAGATATTCATAAAAAATATGGTTGTCGGACATCGGTATTTATGTTTTTACTTAATGTTGTCTTAATCCTGGTATCTATGATGAGTTTATTTACATATTGGCATTAGGGCTTCCTAAATCTTGCATGTTAGTGCAAAACGGCAAAAACTATCAAAAAAACTTCATTTTGAGATTTGTCGTTAATGTTTAGATATGAGCAACATCCTAACCCAGAAAATGTTTTGCTACAAAACGTATTTTACAAAGATGTTAATGTGTATAAAATATCGTTTTGGGTCAAGCTGCTCATATATATTTTGACAAAAAATACGCGTAAAATAGCTTTTTTTCGTAAAGGACATGTTTTTGACGTCAATGTCATATAACAAGTGACCTTTCTAAACTTAAGTATTCAGATTATATTAACCAGTTTATTTATCAATGAAATTACAATAGTTTTGAAAAGCTTGATTAAATTTACTATTTTTGCAATTTTATGGACCAAATTATCGGTTTCATCATACCCCCTCAATTTTTTTTTTGAATTTATGACCAACATTTAGTACATATATGGTTATTTTTCTATCATATAACTTTGACGCATCCCTATAAAGTTGTGATACAAATGCTCTTGTATCGTTTTAAGAATTTCATCCCGAAACTGAGAAATTAAACTTGACATTTAATTTATAAACGATATCAATTTTGTCATAAAAAGGATAAACTACTTACTATTGTGTCATATAGAAACTCGTTTTGTAGTATTTCATAAACTTTAATATTACATCGTCATATTTTAATCTTTATTACAGTTATCAAAATTTAACCTCAAATTCAAGGGTTTTGTACCATTTTTTACATGTACCAGGTGAAAATAAAGTTAAGAAATTCCTTTGAAAATTGATGATCGATTAAACCTACGTACATGAAAAGTAGCTGAAAACTTCCTGTCTTGTCACTCCACTTTAACGTCTCTAAAAATAAATGACTATACATTTTTTATTGGGGAAACATTTGTAGCCCCGGCAATGGTTTACTGAATTAATACTACATGCATTTTAATATTGTGTCATAATAATCTACTTTTCTGTACTCGATTAAAATCAATTTAGCCGATATTCATCAAAATATATTGACACATGTTCTCTGTTTAGCTCATATATTCTTTGACGACGCCTTTCAACAGAAAAAGACTGGAGGTAAACGTCGAGATGTAAATGACTATGCTCATGCCTTAATTGGAATAGTAAGAAAAGCTGGAAGGTAAATTTTATTTTATATCCACAAGGACAAAGAAACCCATTAAACAAAGTTTCCTCAGTTGCGTTGTACAATATCATGCACACGACAGAAAAAATAGCGAATTCAAGATATTAGAATTTGTTCCGGTTACTCATAATGTTAAGGTAGTTAGCAGTGGATTTAAGATGCATATAAACTGTTTCGTCTTTAAGTTTATTCTTTCTTTTAAACTTTTCGTCTGCTTATCAAATGGTTAAACTAGTTATGCCCAAACACGCATAGACCTTATTATTAAAATGATTTAAAATTTTCTCTATAGGCAAATTTGAAAATTCACAGGCTTCAATAGCTAAATATAAGTTAACTATAATGCTCTATGTTGAATGTTCAATTCAGTGTATCTGCACATGCTCAACACAACAAACCAGTACAAGTCTGAAATTGGCACTTTTTGTACTCGAATGAACTGATATTAACTCAACCATTTTGAATTTGTCTGAATTTTACTTCATATTACTTGACTGTAGTCTGAACTGTACGAAACTATATGAACTTGTACTCGACCGTTAACTCGACCATACTTAAAAGTCTGAACTCATACTTTACCAGACTGAAACAGTCTTAACCCATTCTCGACCTGTACTCAACCAGTTTTCGATCATTTCTAATGTCTTAACAATACTCGACCAAACAACTCTAAGGTCTGAACCATACTCGACCAAAGTCTAAACCTTACTCGACCAATAAACCTCTACTTTTTCAATCTTTAATATATAACCATCATCTATTAATTCATAAACCACTTTTTTATCTTGAGTTAGTTCCCTCTAGTTTTATCTTGTTTTCAGTTATGATACCTCTTGGTCAAATTTATACCCAAGGGAAACAAACCCTGAAAAAATACACTGTAAATAGGAAAAAATAAGATAGATAGATAGATTAAAAATAGGTCGAAAATTGTTAAGACTTGGTCGAGTATGGCTCATACTTGGTCGGGAAAGGTTCATACGGGGTCGAGTATGCTTCAGACTTGGTCGAGTATGGTTCAAACTTGGGTCGAGTATGATTAACATTTTTTAATATGGTTTAATGATCGGGTCTGGGGTATAAATAGCAGAAAATAAGAAAATTAGTGGAAAATCTCTACAGGCTTCATGATTCAAAAGTATTTTTATGTTTGAATAATAATATCTAGTTCTACTTGATATTATTCTCATAAGTGCAGTACATACTTATGACAAAATATTAGTTAAAACAGATTAATTTTATAGATTAGCTGTTATACAATATATCCAAAAATAAATGAAAATCCTACCGTTTTGCTGATTACAGACAAGATACAATCTTCACATAGATCCAAGAATATACGCAACTAGATAAAGTCCTATATAAATACAATAGACCTACTAAGAATATTTATAGTATTATTTAAAGACAACCCCGGTCATTAAGAACTTGTCGAGTAAACGTTTGGTCAGTTTAGAATGGTTCAAACTCGAGTTGAGTAATATTGAGTTCAATTCAGACCAATTTAGAATGATCGAGTAAAAATCAGTACAGTCAAGTAAAAAAACTACCCATTTCAGACTTTACTGGTTTGTACTGACATGTATATGAAAATCATCCATGCCATACTATCATTTTATAGATTCAAACTATTTCTTCAATTCAAATATGCACAATATTAACACCAATTTGTATATATCTAATGTCAAAGAACTATTGTATTGGAAATTTAATGTCAAGTAAATTTGTTATATATTAGAAGAACTGGAACTTCATGTCATAAAAACTATATTTCCACATACAAATTATATCGCATTGCATTAAATGGAGTCAAATTCATGAAAATAAATATTCAGGTTATGACCGTGCAGGAAAAAGTACAAACTTATGCCTTTTAGAACTGTTACATTATGTTTGAAACTCGCGACAAGGTGAACTGGGGACGGCTTATCTTCTAACAATAGTAAATGAATTTTAGTTTTAAAAAGTCATTTTTATCTTTACATCATCTGAAAAGTCTGAACAATTTTTTCAGTCTTTCATTCGATTTCAAGATTAACCACTTCGGTTACAGTCAATTCAAAACTGTTCAGCTTTTCAGACAATTCAGAAGGAGGGTGAAGTGTACAGGTAAATAAGGATCTGCTAATCTATCCGGATAACCTGGTTTGGTGCGGTGTTCATGTTGGTCGGTCGTTAGTTTGTGTTTTGTAGTTGGTTTGGTCGTTTTTCGTTTTTTGCCATGATGTTGTCAGTATATATTCAACTTATGAGTTTGTAAGTTCCTTTGGTATATTTTGCTTCTATAATTGCAGATATTTTTCTTAACTGTGGATAATTTCTTTTCGTGGAACAACTTAAGGACGAGAAAGAAAATATTCTATCAGTTTAATCGACACTTTTAAGTATAATAGTAGAAACCTTGATGATCCCGAGTTTTTTTTATAAGATCAGTGTATTTATCCAAAAGATCTTCATCTCTATTAAGCAAATTATAAAAGTCAATATTTTAAGTTTTTATACATTATATTATTGATTCAAAATTGACTAAAACGAAAACGACGATTTAAACAGTATGTTAATGTTTGTGTATATGTGTTTGTGGAAAGTCTTAAGTTTCCACCACGGTTCTATAAAAAGCGCATTTTGGTGCGTTGAAGCATCTCACATGCTATTGGTTTATTATCTATTAAACATCATAACTTTGCATTTGTTTTATTTTTTTGTAGATTGGTATATAATGATAGTCTTGAAATTAAAGATTATAAAAAAGAACATACACCATATGGTGCTAGACTTACCTGGAAACTACCTGGCGAAAATACTTTGGTTGTACATCTGAAGAATAAGAGAAAAATAAGACATAAAAAAAGATGGAGTCAGGTAGAATAATAATTGTGTTTGAATAAACAGAAATATGGTGTATGAGTTTAGGTGGTAAATCAAGTTTTTCGTTACCACAATTTACTTAAAACCTTTACTAATTTTTTTCACGGATCCAAAGATTTGGTTTGGAAGTTTTGGCGGTTTGGCTGTATCTGTAGAAAACGTATTACATAATGGAACGCACATCCTAATTTTTACAGTGATGCTATTCACCGAGTGTGTAAAAATAAGATACAATGCGGGTAAACTTATTACAAATTTGAATAAAACTTATTTTAAGAGGTTACAAATTTAACACTCTAATTAGATCTGTGAATATTTTTTTATCGGTATAAAATATGAAAACAACATGTTATAAATTTCATGCATTCAGAGCGCTTTTCTGGATTTACCTTCATCAGGAATGCTCAACTGCGAATATTTGAAAGCCAAGGATGAATAAGAACCAAATATTGATTTTGTTATCAATAAATTGAAACCTAACAAAAAACAATCACGATCCTACATTCTGTAGATACCTTTATTTTGGAATTGCACATGGTCATGTTTTTCTGTGACTATTTATGACGTCTTTACAAAAAATCCATTCATTGGATATCTGTTATCATGCTGTTACACCAAAATCACAGGTTAGGGGGAGGGTTGGGCGCCTGCAAACATGATTAACCCCACCACACTATTTATATACCTATCCCAAGTCAGGAACCTGTACTTGAGAAGTTTTCGTTTGTTGCTAAAACCATATTTGTTTTTCGTTTACTGTTTTGTACATAAATTAGGCCATTTGTTTTAGTTTGAATTGTTTTATATTTGTTATTTTGATGCCTTTTATAGCTTTCTGTGAAGTATGGGTTTTTGCTAATTGTTAAATGCCGTACGGTGACGTATATTTGCTTACCTCTATGTCATTTGGTCTCTGGTTGACATTTGTCTCATTGGCAATCATACCACATCTTTTTATTTTTATATTTCAATTTAAAAAAAGGAAGTAAATAACTCCAATTAGATGTCATTGGATCACTTGGGTCAAGATTGACTGATGCATCCTTAGGATTGAACGAACAATTTGAACATGTAGTTTACCGATATGTTTTACGGTTTCAGAGCAATAAAGATAATAACAAAAAGAGTGCGTTAGGCATTCAACCACAGCTTATATAATTCAAAGTTTGCTGTTGTGTTAAAAGATAATAAATCTTCTAATGAATACACCAAATCCACAGAGAATTAGCACATGATAGAATTGGGTCCGGTTTTATGAGTCTTTCTGTGTATAATGTCTAAAACCGAAAGTTAGGTAATCTTGAAAGACATAATATGATGTAAATTGAATACTTCAAGAAAACTCTGCACCCTTTACATTGTTCTGTCATAACATGTTTGGTATATCAACGACACAATACCTTGTTCTACATAACTCATATTGTGTGTTTTTGTTATTTATTTTAACACACTTATCATTTGATGTCATCTTATTATGTGCACTGACAAAAGATCCACTTTATAAGCTAAGTTGAAACATGCACATGTTTATTTACAGGTTATGTATATGTACTATATTCTAAAATGGAAGTTGGAGCAAGAGGTTAGAAAAAATATGGTAAATTCAGATCTTGTTAAAAAAGAATTCAATATTCAAAAATTTAAGAAATTGGAAATGCAGAAATTGGCAGAAAATTCCTATATTTTGGCTCTTGACGGAGATGTCGATTTTGAACCGGAAGCTGTCCTTAGTTTAGTCAGACGAATGAATAAATCAAATCTTGTTGGAGCAGCCTGTGGAAGAATTCATCCAATAGGATCAGGTAGATAGAATGTTAACTTTATATTATCAAAATGGATTTACGAGGTTAAAATATCCTGTTTTAAAGGAAAAGGAATTAAAACAAACAAACAAACAAACAAGCAAACAAAAAACACTCCCAAACTTCTTATATTTGGAAACAAAATATACCTTTTGAAAATTACTAAATATTTGTTCTACTTAGTTGGTAATTAAATTTGTCAGATGTGTAATTTCAGAGCTATATAGACTGGGTATTTCCTGTGTCGTTTTAACTTTTGATCTTTATCATTAGGTCCAATGGTGTGGTACCAGAAGTTTGAATATGCAATAAGTCATTGGTTGCAAAAGTCAACAGAGCATGTAACTGGATGTGTACTATGTAGCCCTGGTTGCTTTAGTTTATTTCGTGGGGCGGCAATTTTAAATCCTAATGTACTCGAAACATATACAACAGTATCGAAAGAACCGAATGATTATATACAATATGACCAAGGTGAGTTATTATGGTAATATCATTTTGGGAAAATGTATCTTAATTTTCAAATAAAAAATTGATAATTATAGCAGTTGATATTAAACGTTAACACCAAACAGAAAAAAAGAATTTCTCATGAATCGAAATGTTCATACCAAAATTAATCCCAAAAGGGTAAAGAACTTTGTACGGTATCAAGTTAGTGCAGCATGATGCTTCTGGCAAAATATTTAAGGACCCAAAACTTATTACAAACTTTGATCAAAGTATATCAAGCACATGGATTTTGCTTGAGTGAGCGTCATTCCTTAATTTCAAATAATTTATAAGTTATATATTATGTAATGTCAATTAGACAATATCCGTATTTTCTTGCCAGTACAGAGCTCCCTCACTTGGAGATATGGAATCTTTATGACATTACTCCTGTGCTTGAAGATGTTATCTAGAGTGGTGTTGTTGGTTAGATACATATATTGAAGCATGTTTCATAACATTCGGGCATTTATGGGATGTATAAGCGCGTTCAGGTTTGAGTTGTGTGTGATCTACGAAGTTTAGGATCAAAGATTATAACTCAATATAACTATGATTTTAAGATAACATTATTTCCGAAATAATAGTTTCTGTTTACGAGACGATGAACGTTCAAGATTACGTTGTGTCTACTTTTGTTTATGATGATGTCAAAACAACGCAAAATGTAAAAAAGGATAAAAAATATTATTAACTTGTTATCCAAATGTGTAAAGGTCATTGCATGAAGCATCCAGTAAAATGAAATCCTATCGAACTATACCAAAGCAAATGTGCCAAATCTGGAAATGGTTGTATATGATACATATTTTATACTAAAAAAGTGTGTATATGGTAAAGCTAGCTATTATACAACGTACATTATTTCGTCAGTTTCATACCATATTTACGTCTGGTCGTCGAAGCCTCGGTGGTGATTGGTCTAAGTAGTTCATCTACAGTATTACTAGCCTGTGACCACTAAGGTCGTGATTAAACTCATCATAGATACAAGGATGAAAAATTCATACGCCAGCCTCATCAGCAGTGAAGCTCAAATAAAAAAAAAGTTAATCAGACCAAATAAAGTACGAAATTAAAGAACATTGAATTCCGAAAGGTTTTGTCAAATACAGCTAAGGTTTTCTATTCCTGTGGTAAAAAATCTTTAGTATTTCGAAAAGTTCAAAGTTTTGTAAACAGTTAATTTATAATTATGACCATATCAATGACAAAAGAGAAGCGTAAGATACCAAAGGGACATTCAAACCCATAAGTAAAAAATAAACTGACAACGCCATTGCTAAAAAAGAAAAAGACCAACAGAAAAACGAGAGTACTCTAAACACAACATAGAAAACTAAAGACTTGAGCAACACGAACCCAACCAAAAACTTGGATTGATCTCAGGTGCTCCGGAAATGTAAGCAGATCCTGCTCCACATGTGACACCCGTCGTGTTACTCCTATGAAATACGTTGATACGTTGAATCAAGTGATTAAACATCACATAAGAGCGGAATAGTGATTGACTCGTATATAACCCTTAGACATCACCAAATTCTAGTCCATCGGCCATGTAATTTTCTAACCCTAAAACTTGACAGAATGTGAAACTTTAAAATTGAAACACAATTTGGATGCCAGTATATACAGCACAAACATCGAAAAATTATCAAGCACGAAAAACAACACGTATAACCGATAATTCATGTCAACACCGTAGTGCGTACTACTGAGCAGGTGATACCCCGGGTAGGAAACCTTCTGTGAGTTCGAATCCCGCACCTGGCAGGTGGGTTGTATTTCAATTTCAATTGCCAAGGATTACCAGTTTCACGCCGAAGGTTTACGATTCTTTCCGGGTATGTGATTCAGAATCTTATACGTAATTGCAACTTCAACTGAAAAATGGCCATTCCTTTAATTAATTTGTATTTCAATGTGTGCTGTTGAAATACAACGAAATAATGAAAAGTTGTACCTCTTAAAAGATAATAACAATGGAATTTTATTGTGTTAGAAAAATACAGATGTTGGAGATATTTGATTCTTTTTTATAGGCGAAGACAGATGGTTATGTACACTCTTACTGAAACAAGGTTGGAAAGTTGAATATTGTGCAGAGTCTGATTCTTACACATATGCACCAGAGGGATTTTATGATTTTTACAAACAACGTCGCCGATGGACACCTTCTACAATGGCAAACATACTTGATCTTTTACTTGATTACAAAAATGTTACGAAAAACGAGAATATATCGTCTCTTTATATCATCTACCAAGCCTTGCTTTTTGTGTCAACTTTATTAACACCAGGAACGATCTTCATGATTATACTAGGGGCTATTATAGTCGGCTTTGAATCTATACCACCTTATCTTGCTCTGATTTTGAATCTCATCCCCGTGGTTTTATTTCTGATAATGTGCTTGTATGCATCTTCTGAAAGACAAGTAAGTGTGTAAGAAAAAAGGCTGAATAATATGGGGTATGCTATTACATCTCTTCCACTTTAAATTAATGTGTATTACAAAACTGTCAAATATATATGTATAGAACGTCTATAAAAAGGACAAACCAGAGAATTTAATATGTACAGGATCGTCTAGAATAGACGATACTGCACAGATAAGGAAAAATTATAAAAGTGTAAAGATTTGCACAACGGTACTAATATAAGATGGTAATATACAAAGATGATGTTATAAAATCGTGTTGACAAATATTTCGGCTGAAAAAAAAAAACCTTCTTCAGTGTCAATAATTTTTACAATACTGTATTGTATTGTATTGTATTGTATTGTATTGTATTGTATTGTACTGTAAACACTATTGACACTGACGCAGGCTATTAATTTTGTTGAACCGTAACATTTGTCAAAACGATTTTATTTTCATTTTTCACTTACTTAATTTTTGTGTTTTTTTATGAATATACGAATCTGTACACAACTCGATTTAACATACGTTGTTCGACCTGCTAGTCAAATGCGTTTTGTTAAAATATACTTTTTCACTTTTTTGGTATTTTGGAAATGTTGTTTGTGCTGTATTTACACCCCTCTACCAAGAAATTTGTTTTGCATGCACACGTATAAAAATTGCGGTTTTTATCCAACGCAATCATAGGTTTGAACGTTGTTTTCAATTTAGACTTGTTTATGCTTTTTCGTTTGGGCTTGTATTATATTTGCCTTCGGATTTATAATCCGTGCATCCTATTTCGACTCTTTAAAATCCAAGAGTCTATCCTAAATTGAGGTAAATTATATGGCCTTCCAAATACCGTTTCGATTCCTAACATCACTGAAGAGACATTAATTGTCGAAATCCGGATATGGTGTACTAATATGTGCACCTTTTGTTTGCGGTATACTATCTTTTGCGCAAGTTTATTGTTTTTTGTTTGGTATTAAATTAATAGTTAAGATCCATTTTGTTACATTTGGTGATCCGTTTATTTGGAAATCGCCATGGTAGTCAGCAGGGTTTAAGAACATCCGTTGTTCGACCTGCTAGTCAAATGCGTTTTGTTAAAATCTACTTTTTTACTTTTTTTGGTCTTTTGGAAAATGTTGTTTGTGCTGTATTTAGACCCCTCTACCAAGAAATTTGTTTTGCATGCACACGTATAAAAATTGCGGTTTTTATCCAACGCAATCATATGTTTTTTTTTTCAATTTAGACTTGTTTGTATTTTTTCGTTTTCTATAAAAAAAAATTTGCAAACTGTTGAATTTCTTTTGGTTGTTTTTCGGTTTTTTTGCTATGGCATTGTCAGTTTGTTTTCGGCATTCAGTTTGATTATCCTTTTGGTGTCTTTATCTTCTCCCTTTCTGTTAAGTTTTCGTTTAAAAAAAACAAACAAATGCTGCATTTAGAAAAAATATCAGTTTTGGAAACTGTGTCAGTTTAAGTTTAATGGTATACAGATACACTAAATCACATTAAACAGATCGATTGTGAAAAAACAAGCCAATTTAATTTGAAAGAATGTTTATGATACAAGAGATCTCTCAATATGAAGAACAGATTTTGTATTATTTCAACATTCAAAGTAAAACGTCTTTCGATTTATTAAAGAATTTTACCATTGGAGAAAATCATATAAATGTTTTCATTCCACAATAAATACCTCAAGATAAATTTACGTTTTGACTAAATTGCTAGTTTTAGTAAAATAAAGGCAAAAGTAGTATACCACTGTTCAATAGTCATAATTCGTTTAAGCAAAAACAATTCTGGGTTATAAACAAAAATTGAGGGAAACATATCAACTATAAGAGGAAAACAACGGAACAACAGAAATACTGAACTACAACAAATACATAGTAATTTTTCTAGTAAAATTATAGACTGATTTTGTGCAAAACCAATATTGTAGAAGACTTCTATCATTTCTCGAATAGAAAAAGGTCAAACAAAACAAAAGCAAAAAAGGTGAAAATCAGAGCTGACTTATAACTGGCAATATATCTTGAAATATAAATAGATAAAGTTAAAATAGTTGTAGAAAGTAAGAGTTTTACTGTCTTGTTTGTGATTATAAGGTGCAAAATAATGCCTGCTAGAGAACCACACGCCTGTTTGAATTTGGAGGCACATAGGAAAAGAGCGTTATTAAAGTGGAATTCAGTTTATTCTTGTAATTGCATTATAATAACCAAATTTTCAATCACATTTAATATGCTTTATGTAATACATGTTTATTAATGTTAGTTCATAAGGAATGTGAACGGAATAAATATATACAGCACAAATTTTAATATCATAACTGTAAACTTTTTATAAAACAAGTAAAAAAAGTTACTGCGTCACATATTTTAAAAGTAAGTCAATATCATTCAATTGTAAAACCGTCAGTAATGCCAGAACGCTCTTGCTTTGTCAAAATCAAAATGACAGCCTGTTAAATTTGTCTTTAATGTCTGCTTTGAACAAAATTCAGAATTCAGAATTTCCTATTAGAATTTAATTTGATTACATGTACCACACGTCATGATCTGTGTGCATTTTAACATCAGCGGAAATTATGTTATAGAGGAAGTCTAAATAACTCATTTCCTGAAAAATGGAGCATTTGAAAAAAAAGGTTAACGTCACATGTGTGTTTTAAATTTTTCAACATTAATTTTACATCTTGCTTACATTTGGTGTACAGATATCAATGAATATAATGCCTTCCCATCTAAAGATGAGAACAGTAAATGACCTTAAACATGGTAAAGGAGTATTGCTTGCTTGCTATAAATAAAAGAATATCAAGTTTTCAACTGTTGTGTAACCTGAACATTACATTTTAAAATGGAACTAGCTTGAATAATTTGTTATAGCTTCAGTATGCAGCAGTTCTCTCCTGTATATATGCAGTGGTAATGGTGATTGTACTTATTGGTGTGATACAAGATGCTGCAGATAAGCGTTTATGTTCAACTACCACGATATTTTTCATATTTGTCGCTGGTGTTTTTGTTACATCTGCAATACTCCATCCAAAGGTAAGATTTTATTAATTTTAATAAATGTAACAGTGAAAAAAAGACATAATAAAAATGGAAAAATTGATAAAAACTTTAAATGTAATTAACAGAAGACATATATGATTAAAAATCAATTAGACAAAAAAATGTTTAACAGATAAAAACCGAATCACATTTGACCCAAACTGCATGGGCTGATTTTAGAAGGTACACTTATACATTTGAGGATTAACAATAGTTTGGATGCTCTTTATGTTAAACATGATTATCAATAGAGACATATTTTCGAAATTTTAGCAATTTCTTACAAAATTTGCGTCTGATGCTTTTTAACTCCTGTTGGGGCGAATTTAAAATCTTCTGAAACTGAGAACACAATTACATATAAAAACATTTACATTAGCTCCCAAAACTAGGTCTTATAAAAAAATCAATACTAAGAGATACCCATTTTCTACGCAATATACATCAACCATCAGCCAGAACAATACGTCAATAATATGTACGCATTGCTTGGTTATGAGGACAATGTCTTGCTTGTTGTCACTGAGTAACAAGCTGTTGCCATAAGTGAATACAAGGACATAGTTGGTATGGAGGGGACAAGATCTTTTCTTTAATACAGATAGCCAGTTGTGTGAATTATTAAGAAGACTATCTTAAAAATTCTACATACACAAGAAGGCAATCCGGTAACAAAAGGGAAAAAACAAAACTATTTCATGTAATCAGTACATAATGTATGAGAAGGACATTTGTATTGTCATTGCGTTATTATAATATATGCCATTAATTTTTAATCACAGAAACACTAAAATTACTGTCCACCAAAATATTCATAGATGATGAAGACAACGACAGACCTTTACTTAACATTTGTTGCGTAACAGAACTATAACAATGGTTATTTTTGTGTGTAGATTATACTTTTTTACACCTTCCGTTTTGTGATCTGTTAATTCAAAAACATACTTTTAAAATGTCCACGACAGAAAAATAACGATATCTTTATTTATATTCTGTTTTGAGTTTTCATGCAAAATCGAAGACCGCGAAACAATGTCCTATGTTGCAGTTGACTTAAGCAATAGACAAAAAGTATTGTGTCTTGAATGACCTACCGAACTTTGACAGGAAAACTGTCAATCCTAGTCAATAAAGATCAGAGTCGAACGCATCTACCACCAGCAGGGTCCAACCTCAGTGTTGATAGGTTTTTGATCACTGTAGAGGAACTACTTAGTCGACCAAATGGCCACTAAGGCACCATCTATGTAGAGCAGTTGTAACGATAGGTCATAAAGGCTCAACGTATGTAGAGCAGATGTAACTTATAGGACAGCTGATAACAACTAACAGTGCAATAAGTGCTGATAAATGTTGAAGAGAAGTCATTTTGAATAAAACATATACCGACGAAATTACTAATAAATGAGTCATCGCTTATCTGAGAAATATCCATAAATAGAACAAAGGAACATAGATAACGGCGAGCTAAGCCACTTCTACATTTGATTGCACCAATTGTTTTTTTTTTTATTGAAATATTTACTTCCCTTCTCTTATAAGTTCGTGTTGGCTAATTGCTACAAACATTCATAACATTTGGAGAAAAAAGTTTCAAACAGCAGTATTAAATACAGTTTGATAGGAACGGTCATTTTGATTTCAGCTAATAATGATTGAATTAACAATAATCAAGTACTTCTTGATTGATCAAACATTTCGTTTTATGCAAACCAGAGCATGTTCTTATACAGATATATAAAGTGTGTATGTATGATGTACATTTATCTAATACAAGATAACAATTTAAGTACAATGTTGAAAACATTGCGTTCATTCAGGTATAAATGATTTAAGTGTATGAAGTAGAATAGCAGCGAAGCTTTGTGAATATCACAGCAAGTCCTGTATTTGAACAAATAATAAAAAATGAGACTCAAAGGGAAGCAAACGATAAAATTCTAAGCGAATAATATCATATCATTAATTCATTTATACTTTTTCTCAGGAATTCTTCTGTTTGCTGCATGGTGTTTTGTATTTTGTTGCGATTCCATCTATGTCTATGCTTATGTTTTTGTACTCTATTGGCAACCTGCATGTTGTATCATGGGGAACACGAGAAACAAACAAAGAAAATACCTCGACGAAAGCTAAAGCCGAAAGCATGAAAAATGAAGAAAAAGGATATTTTTGTAAATTTGGAAGTTTCATGAGGTAAATTAATTCATTCGAATCAAAACTAACACCTTAATTGATACCTGCACTTAGGAAAAGTACTGAATAGGTAGCTAAACTCAAAGATGTCACTTTAATTTTGGAATATAGAGCAGCGGTCTTCTTTTGCTTTTAGTTTTGTCCGGTACGAGTAGTGATTTTGTGTAGCGAATTAATATACCATACCCTTTCATTTCCCAAAATAGGTTTTAACACTAATATCACTGGTTAAATAAGCATCAAAATGTCCTTCTGGTACGAAAAGTTAATACTTTTGTATGAAAATGCTTGCACAACCAAATTGATGTGCAAGTAGGAAGTGAAGGTCTTTTGACCCAGTGGTGTTCGTTGTGTTTTGTCTTTGTTTTTATTCCTTTTTCGTTGGAGAAGGCGATAGGTATGTGTGGTCTATATATGTATTTGAGATTCACATACATGTATTATAATAGTGGTCAATTGGTCATGTAGGATCGATGAAAACGTTAAAATAGTACTATTCAGTTAAGAAACTGACAATTTCAAATCGATGCGACATGTTTAGAAAATAAAAGAGAGGCGACAGATACCCCAGGTATATTCAAACGCATTAATTTAAATGTTTGGAAAATAATTTTAAGTATTTTTTGTAGTCAAACAAAACACATACAGTTTTTACCAAAAGAGATCCAAGGTTGGTGTTTTGTCTGACGGATATCACTTTAAACAGCAAAAACTGACAAAAATTGAAAATCACACAATTTTATTTAATATTCGTCGTCTCAATCCGCCTCAAAATATCTTTACAAAACCTAAAAGACTGTTAGAACACGATACAATATTTATCCTGACGGATGCTTCGTTTTGCGAGTCGCAAAAGAAAACTCTCAAAACATACACCAATTACGCGTGCATCGGCAAAAAAGTTAAATACAATTTTCTGTTGGAAGGCCTTCTTGACATCTCCTTTTATTCATATTGGATAAAACAAGGAAATGTTTTGTCGTTTATTAGTGTCTTTATTTTGTTTTCACATGGACTTTTGTCCCATATTTCGTTTTGTTCATATCAGATAGATGCAGGAAATAAACAGTATTTCTTCTTTTAACTACGTACCGTAGGTTCATGTCTGTCATATTTTTTTTTTCGTAATTGTTTTGTTATAAATCAGGCCGTTAGTTTTCTCAATTGAATTGTTCATATTTTTCATGTCCGGGCATTTTATAGCCGACTATACGGTATGGGTTTTCTCATTGTTGAAGGCCGTACAGTTGCCTATAATTGCTTACATCCACTTCATTTGAACATTAGTGGATAGTTGTCTCATTGGCAATTATTTCACATCTCTTTATTTTCATAGTAACGGCTTTCCTTTCTGGGCTTTGGATAGGTACAAAATTAAGCAAAAAAACATAAAGTTTTACATACAATATATTTTTTCAGAGGAGAGGCGGAAGATACCTGAGGGACATTCGTACTAATAAGTCAAAGGCAAACTGACAAAACCATGGCAAAACAAAACGAAAAACGACGAAAATAAAAAAAAAGTCTACAAAACACAACATAGGAAACTAAAAGCGGAGAAACACGAATCCTACCAAAAACCGGGGTCATTTCAGGTGCTCAATTAGAAAGGTAATCAAATCTTGCTCCACGTTAGGTACCCGTAGTGTTATTCATGTACAAAATTGGTGATATTTGGTGATATTACTTCGAGGAAAAGAGGACGAGATTGTGGTTACGACAATTCGAACTCACATTGTAGTCATCGTCATCAAATAAGTCGACCTGAGCCTTTGTTTTATTTTTCAGTTGCATTCTCTGTCCAACGAATGATTATACAAAAGAAGACCTTATTCATAGAAATGTGTTGAATAAATTTGACACAATAATTGAAATAAACCAACGCAGCAGAGCAAAAATTACTGCGCCTACAGGTATGTAAAATAAAACTATTTGAGCTTAAATTATATTGTTATATTTGGGATTAATGTTACCATTACGTATTGAATTAGTCACCTTCAAGTATATAAACAGTGTTAAAAAGAGCATCTAGTGTAGCATCTATGGGAAAGAATGTCCTAGGCCATATTTTTCGTAAAAAACCTATATTTCGTTATTATTTTGAACACCACTATATCCAAATCGAAACAGTGATCATTAACTATGCCTTTAAATTAAATGTGGAAGATTATCCATTTAAAGTCATTTGATCCTTCAAATTTGACAAAAATGATGAATATGTTTAATAAAACTGAATTCTAGTTTTTACTTTTTTGTTAAAGAAAATCCGTTATATTGACCAAATCTAGAGAAAATGTGCTGTTTTTGATTTATTGTCTTCGCGTACTCTAACTCGCCTACAACGTTTCTTCCGTATGCAATGACATTAACATGACGCCTCTCGTAGAAATTCTGCAATCGTACTGCGCAAGTGCGAAAGAATAAACCGTGACGAAAGAAAAAGTAAACAGACGTGGAAGGAAGGCAGTATTGCCCAATTCTGACAGATTTTGATACACCAAATCATTTAACAACTGTTATGACAAAGTTTAACATGTTGAAGCAACACATAGGAAGGCGTGGATTTTCTTTTTTTTTTAACATGACTAATATATTTTATTGCATTCTGTTGCTGTTAACACTTTACTCAGTGTATAGAATTGCACTAAGTATCCCTAATCGCTGGAAAATATCTTAAAAAAAAACAACAACAAATAAACATTGCTCTATCGTCGTCATAATATTGTACTTATCGTTCTGTGTTGAATGTTTATCAAAGTCACTATCGTTATGCTTCGGCCTCAAAACCCGAGACCTGGCAATAAGCGGCCATTGTTTTCGATCAACACTGGCCAGTTATTTTTTGTCGATTATACGTTTAACTAATAGAATGCTGAGGACTTAGTTTAGAAAAAATGAATATATTGATTAAACATTTAGTTAACATTATAATCACTAGAAACTTGTTTCATATGTCTTAACAATTTATCAGTAAACGGTAGGAAAATGTATTGATCAGAAATTTTACTGTCAATGTTTCATAATACGAAGGAGATAAATATGCAAAGTTTTCAAACGTTTGGTGTTATAGTTGTTAGTTTCTATGTCTTTGGTCTCTTGTGGAGAGTTGTCTCATTAGCAATCATACTACATCTTCTTATTTTTATTTAAAAGGCCCCGACATGACAAAATGTGAAACAGTTCAAACGAAATATTCGATGGCCTGATTTAGGACAAAGACATTGACTAACAAAAACATATAACAGACTTGGGATACGCATAAAGAATTTATCGGGGTTCAACATGTTTGTGCAAAAATGTATCAAAAAAATACTCAAAGGCAAATTCAAACAGGGGAAGCCGATAAAAACTGACAAAATTAAACGCTCTCAATCAACGGAACAAGTGAAAAACAACTGCCGTATTCCTGACTTGGTATAGGCATTTTCCAAAGAAAACGGTGGGTTAAACCTGGTTTTATAGATAGCTAAACCTCCCATTTGATCTCATATTCAGATGTTGCCTTTGCTATATAGATATAAGCCAATTCCTTACCAAAAATGTCTTTTACAAGTTTTTTCATCGGTAATATTTTTTGTATAGGAAATAAGCTTATGTTGACATCGCTTGGCATCATTCATCGGTCGTCTTCAATTGAGATTTACTTAGTACCTGAAGCTACTGAGACAATTGGAATCATACTTGGCAATACTTATCCTTGGGGTACGTGGGGTAAACCAATTCCAAAAATAGAATATAGGGATAAACTATTCTATTGTATTGTAAACTGTTATAGATAGAGAAAATCAAACACAGACAGAAATGTGTTCAGAATATCCAGACGTAAACTACTGTCTCTTTAGTGTCAGGTTACTCACTTAAGGAGTTATAAAACTTTAAATGAAAACTGTAATTATTTTTTTTTCTGTTATCTTAGTAACGATATAGATAAAGAGAAATTGTAAAAGGCACAAATAATATAATCTCCTGACACGATCTACAAGTAAGTAAAAGTTTGAAGGCGTCAGAACAAAGATTCATCCAATAAAGAGTACCTGTAGTGTTGCTCATGATAGGTCTCATCCGATGACGTCACAGTGAAAGAAAAGAAGCGTGTTGGTTATGACAAATGGAATATAGCAGTGTAACACAAATATTCAATAACGGTGAATGAGTTTAAAAACTAATTAAAATATTTTTTCAATGTTAAAATTAAAAAAAAGGAATAATATATAATTGTTCATTTAGGAATACCTGGACATCCTACAAACCAAGACCAAGAATTTAAAAACCAACAATTACTTAACAATGGTACAGGTGAAAGTCAACCAACAAAACAAAAATCTAAAACTGGAGTCGAGACAAATGGAGATACGAGAGATACAACATGTGAAAGTCAACCCACAGAACAATCATCTCAAACTGGAAACGTGCCGAGCGATAGGTCAGTTGAATTAGATTGTCTTCCGTATTTATTAAGAATAGGAGAGTCCATCGACTCAGAAGAAACGACGTTTTGGACGGAAACTATCGCAAATTATCTTACACCGCTAAAATCGAACAAAAGTAAAGATAAAGAAAATGAACAGAAATTAATAAAACTGAGAAACAAAGTATGTCTCGCTGTTTACATGCTAAATGCTTTCCTTGTGACGACAATGTTTTCTTTGACACAGGTCGACACATTTACGAATTCATTAGCTATTAAATTTAACTGTGGTGGTACCGAGACCCCAATTGTACCTATAGCTGTTCTCTTTGCAGTTGTGTTTGGTTTTCTTCTTCTAATCCAATTTTTGTGCATGCTTTACCACCGGTTTTCTACGCTTGTACATATCGCAGCTACAACAAATATTAATGTATCAGAAGAAATAAAACGACGTGAAGCTGTGAAAAAAATGATTGAAAAACTTACGGATAAACCCAAATTCTCTAAATCAAAATTCGATAAAGGCAGGCACTTACTGGAAAAAAACAGAACGATGATAGGAGCACATAGAGAAAAAAATTGATAATATTAGGATG